GGGCTGGGAAACTCAGCCCCGGACGCAAGGGGCTGCCGGGGCGGGGCGGCGGCCGCCGTCGGGGCTGGGTCCGGCCTGACACGGCGTCTTAGGCGGCCGGGCTCCCAGATCCGGGCTAGGGCGGGGGACGGAAAGGAAGGACCGAAATCCGCACTGGCCGCCAGTTGCTCGGAAAAGGCTTTGCTGCGGGATGCAAAGGGGATCGAAGGGGTCCCCAACCCGTCCCGGGTGGTGGCGGCCACACCCCGCAGCGAACGCGCTCCGAAACCACAGGCGGCCGCGCGACAGGCTGTGGAGCGGGCCCGGCTTGCTCGGGTCTCCGGGCTCCTCGCTGGGGGCCAGGGGGGAAGCCCGCTGCGTCCCGAAACTCCGTCCTTGTCGCCTCCGAGCTGTCTCCTTGTCCTCTCCTGGCCCCCCTCTTCTTCGCCCCCTTCCTCCCTCGCCTCGCCCCACCAGGAGGCTTCTGCGCCTTGGTTCCAGGGCAGCTCGGAGTGCAGCCGAGCCTAGAGCCAAGGCAGGAAGGCCACCGCTTCCCGCGGGCTTTGCCGCCCCCCGGGGTTAGCCCCGAGCCCCCGACGCCAGACCCAGACACACTGGGGGCAAAGAGGGAGACGGGGACAACTCCCCCCCCCTTGCCAAACTCGTCCGCACCTCCCCCGTGGGGCTGCGATGGCAGGTGCCGCTAACGGGCGTGGGTCGGGCTCACAGGTTAGGTCTCCGCTGCACATCAGGGACTCCCCAGGACTTCTCCGGAGAGCGGAGACTTGGGCAGAGGAGGCAGCGCCCTAGTCTCCCCCAAGCGAGACCCTGTCCGAACGCCTCTCGGTAAAGAGCCCCTGCCGGGCTTTCCTAAGCCAGCCTCACGTCTGGCAGCCACGGACCCCAGGCTCCTGCGCCCCCAGTCCCGGGCTGTGGAATCCCGAGCCTGCATCGGGGCGTAGAGGAAGGAAGGCGGTGGCCACCGGCCTTCAGAACCGGAGCCTGGGTCCGCGCGGAGGTGACACCCGGGGGAGGCTGCACCGGACAGAAGGCAGGACCGTCGGGCACGGCGCCAGCAGAGGGCAGAGCTGCGGAGGAGCGAGCGCAGCCCACGGGTTAGGCTCCTGGAACCTCCACCCCGTTCCCGCCGCCGCCGCAGGTCACCCCAGCTCCGCGTGAGGGTTCGCGTCTAGGGGGGCATTCGGAACCCGAGGGTTCCAGGCGGGGGAACCTCACCGGCGCCTAGGCCTGGGCTTCTACGGAGACGAGGTGGAGAGGAGACGGCGCCCCGGTGCTGGAGACTACGTCGGGGAGCGCTGCCAGGAGCTGCCTGCTGCTCCCAAGCGCGGAAAGCTACCCCAGCGCCTCCAGGACACCAAAGCGGGATGAGGACCGCTGTGCGTCCTTGGGACCGCCCTTCTCTCTGGGCCCCAGTTCCCCGGGTGTGCAATGATTTGGGTTGGACTTTGTTAAGGGAGGTTTCTTCCCGACTCGTCTCTCTTTAGGCCCCCGAAAGCCCCGAGGATTTTGCCAATTCCCGGGCCGCACCCCACTGAGAAAAGCCTTCAGGTGTGAGGGTCCCTCCGTCCTGGGGCGCAGCCTTTGGGTCCTGGACCCCAGCTGGGAGTCAGAAGGAGCAAGGACCGAGGGTTTGGACCGCGGACAAAGAACCCCCTTCCTTCCGTCGGGACCCCAAAACCGGGAAGCGGTGCTGGGGGTGGGGCGGCAGCGGAGCCCAGAGCAGCCTCCCAGCGGGTGCGCCCGCGGGCCCCGGGCCTTCCCACGGAGCGCTCGCACTTCGTGCTTCTGGCCTAGCCGCGACAGACCCGGACGCGCGCCCCAGGAAGAGGGGGACCTCGAGGGAGCTCCCAGTCTCAGGGCCCACTGGAGTTGGGGAGCAAGCCCCCTGCGCTTGCATCTCCCACCGTGGAGACTGCAAGGGGGAACATGGCACGTTCCGGGGTTACCCGGAGGACGAACCGTGTGGCTTTCCGCGGGGCCCAGGCGCGGAATGCGCCCACGCTCAGGCCCCCACCCCCCTCGCGCCGACGGCCGCGGCTCGGCGACCTCTTTAATATTCATGGGCGTTAATAGAGAGGCCCCCAGTATATCGGCCCATTGTGGGCGGCTCGTAGGGCTTGAATAGGCCCCGGCCCCCTTTCTTCGGCGCGGCTTCCCGAGGGGCTGGGCGGGGAGTGAATGGCCCCGCTTCCCGCGCCGCGCCCCTCCCCCTGCACGGAGAACATCTTTATCCCCGCGGCCGCCGCCGCCGCCGCCGCC